CCCTACCTACTCTTCCATAATAGATAAAGGAACTTGTCGACTTATATAAAAATGGTTCACAGACTAAACAGATGTCATAATCTCTGTAGTTTCTTTAATCAAGCCTCACAGACAAGTGATATGTTTATTCCTCGGGGTAGTTATATCAGTTGTAGTGTTGTGCTCGTTTATCTGAACTATTGTCTATATGGGATCAATTTGGTCTCGTATGTTCAAAACTAAAACATTACTTTTCAAAACTAAAATACTATTTTTTTCCAAAAAAAATCAAATCTATATGTAAATTAAATTAAATCAAAACCACATCTTCAACCTTAAACATTTTCATCGGCTGACAATTACCTTAAGATATGTTACATGTAATAAATAATCAAATTAATGTGAATATCATGAGATATAATTTGTTTTCTTTATCATTTCTTTCGGCTCTATTAAGATAATTCATAAGAGCTAGCCGACTGATGCCCATGTTGATATATAATTTTATATATCTTCATCATTATAATATGTTCCACATAATGCATATGCCAACCTATAAGGCTTTTTATAAGTTTCATCTTCTGTAATACATCTGTCTACCTATAGGAGCCCAAGACAAGTTAAGGAGGTCATTTAATTATTTGGGGCTACACATTTTTCACTTCACTACATCTTTCTAATAGGGTTGTTTTTCAGGTGAGCTCTCTTGGTAAGCATTCTTGCTAAGCTACTTCTATGGATGGATTGGTTTGCTAGCCCCATAGCCTGAGCATAGTCTAGAGACTTTGGCTATATAATTTTTAGCTTTAATATGTCATCACAACTTGTTATTTTCATTTATCCTTCCATTTACCGTAATGCTTCTTTTCTATAATTTACTACTAAGTGATTAGTTTATATTATAAAAAATTAAAGGTAGACCCATAAGCTAAAATTATTTTAATAATTCAATTAATTAACAAAAATTAAAATTAGAAAAAAAAAAGCAATAATTTGATCCTCTCACTTTTCTTAAGAGATAAAACTAAAATTTCTTTTATTATATCTCTTAGATGATATAAATAATAAAGCTTATAAATAGTTAAAACCCCCAAGCATTTGTGGATTTTTCACACCATGGCCAATGCAAATAAAAATGCTCCTAGTTTAAGGATTGATAATCTAGATGACATGGCATGTTCTTTAAGGTAGAGTTTCTTTTGTAGGCATGAATATTTAATGGGCCTAATGATATTAGTACTCTAATTAGAAGTACTCCTAACCCAAACATGACTGTAAGTTTTTTTTTGTAGCTCCAATTTGTATAATTAGGATATCTTATTCTTTTTTTATGGTTAAATTCATTATACATCTAAGGATTATAACTATTCCATGTACTAAAGATAGTCTATTTAAAACATGCCTTCCTTTTTTGATTTACAAATATGAGACTGCCTTTGAAATTAATAATTTAAAAGTTAAAATGGGATGATAATCATAATTTCTTTACATTTAAGTGTCATAAAACAAAAAAAAGGGCTTATTAAAATTAGTTAAAGATATTTTTACCTTTTCTTGTCTTTGTATCATTACTTGCAACTCCTTTGAGGCCATCATACTTCTTTTAGAGTTTTTGTCAATGATTTTATCGTGTAAGTTTCCAATGTGGAGATGTGTTAATATTACTTTGTTGTGATAATGCACCCTTTGCTTTTTGGACTAACAATTTCAAAGAATTAGCTATTTTATTATGTTATCAATTATTGAGTCATAATCCTCTTTGAAAATATCTTAAGAAAATTAAAAGATAATAATTTTATTGTTAAATGAGTTTGTCTTTAAGAGATATCCTTAATTAAAGCTATCCTCATAGAACTTTTTCCTTTTGAGATATTCATTTATCTAAATTCAATAATTAGCTTGACTTTGCTTAGTCTTACAATTATAACTTCATTTTAAGTATGTTACATGTGGGTAAATTGAATTTGTAAGTTTTATCTCACTAGACTTCTCTTATTAACTCATATCATATTTTATATATATGAAAAGAATACATTTTTATCAGCATTCATTTTCTTTAGGTAGCACTTTTAAAGAATAAATTCAATGAATTCTAGGCTTGGGAAACTATGCATAAGTCTAGTTAGTCCATTTAGTTTGCCATGAGTTCCTCTTGAACTTTTTTTAAGCCAAGCTAATGATTTCAACTTAATTTTAGCCGACGAGTTTAATTAGAGCTCAGCTTACAAGTTTGACTTGTACTAATCGAGAAGCATACCAAACTAAATGATATATAAGTTCACCATTGGAATATATGGGTGTGAAATTGTACTACATGAAAAGTTACATGAATAAACAATATTATTAGTTCTTTATAATAACTACCATAAAATGAAACTAACTATTCAATAGGTAATTGAGTATACAAAAAGTACTTTTGTGTTCTACATGCACTTCTAATTTCTATAAAATTACTAGTCAATTATATCAATACTTGTTGAGAACTTGTGACTTGCTTTGATGAGTTGCATGAAACTGTCTTGTTGAATCCAACGCAAGTGTTTTGACATAAAACATTTTGGCATGTTAAAAATAAACAATGAGATTGTTCTTATCCCAAAAACTGCAAGTTAATCTTGATGGCCAATGTGACTACACTTAAAATAATTCGTTAACAAAAGCTGACCTAATTTGGAAGCCAATCAAGATACTAATTTAATATTCACAGCCAAACTCTTATTTGTTCCCAAACATCTCCCAAGGACAACACAAAATAGTTTCCAAATTCAAATATCAAACTTTTTTATGTGATATATTTTCAAATTAGGATCCAAATAATTATTATCCAAACCTTAGAAAATGACACTAGAAACATCATAAATTAAAAAAAATAATAAAAAACCATAGATTGGAGGGGCAAAAATTAACAAGTTTTGTGAGAATTTGATTTGGTTTTATAACCTTAGGCTAGATTTTTTAATGATAGATTTCTTTATACAATAACTACCTTTTCTTACAAAAACTTACTTGAAAATTTTTTACCCGGAAACTTCTTTATTCCTTTTGAAAGAAACATTTTTCTTTTAAGAGAAACTTTCATTTTTTTCTTGCATTTTTGTTCCAACACAGTCTTGTTTCCTAAAATCACTGTTCCTGTCAAGAAAACTTCTTAAAACATTTCTTTAAATATAACCTTTTTTTTTCTTCACTACTTTTCCTTGCGATTTCTTCCTTTCACAAGAAATTTCAGCCAATCTACACCTCCTTCCACTTGAGTCGCCACTTATTGCCATCGGAACTGTCACAATCTCCTTGCTATCGTGTTCTCTCCTACTGAACACCAATTCTTCACGTCCAAGCCACTGGCTTCCGCGGAACCTCTGAATCTACCAAAAAATCACATCGGAACACCTGTTGGAAAATAAATGCCGACACCAAACTTCTGATTTTCTTATTTCAAACTCGAACCATGCTTCGATCACGAATATGAAACTCTAATACTAAACGTTATGCGAACACAATGTGAAAATAAGGAAATTCACATAACAACAATCAAACATAAGATTTTTTGTGGTTTGAGTTAAGTTGATTGGCCTATATCTATCTGGAGGGAGATTCCACTAACACCGGATGGGGTGAGAAAAAATGGCTCGAGGTTACAACTTTTGCACTTCTCACCATAACCCTAACTCTCTTTTATAGAGGAGGAATGAGGCATAAAAGTTAAAAAAACAAAAATATCAAATTACCCCTAATCATAATAAATCATACAAACAACACTTAAAAACGAGAAAATTAGGAATTTTTCTTCACAAGTCTAAATCTTTTCAATTAAAAAATAATTATTTACAAGATGTTTGTTGCAGTCCAAAATGAAATTTTCATGCGAACTAAAAATAATTTACTTCAACATTCATCAAAAGAATTTGTCATTTCGATGACCCATTAGTTGTTGGCACATTGGGCTATCTTTACTATTCTTGGGTGAGCTTGACAGCATACGATAATGTTAGAAGTTTGAATTAGTTTGGTTTCCTGGGCATTGGTTGCTGGCATTGGTCATACTTGAGTAGTTCATGTTGTGCTGCATTAATAGCTCTAGATCAGGTCCATTAATGTGTACATGTGATATGAACTCAAGAATATGTTCATACCCTTGATATTTTGATAGCAAGCTTAATTCTTTCTAAGCATTAATATTTGTTAATAAATGTCAAATAGTTCCTATGGTGTGAATTTCACATATATTATACTAGTTTTTTTATGGGGAAGGTTAATTTTAGCACCCAACTCCAATATATTTATATATCTCACATCTATACTTTCATATTTACACAACTCTCAAATATGTAATATCACATCATAAAATAATATTATTATCATTTTTTAAAGTGATATATATTAAGAGATAT